AAAAAAAAAAAAAAAAAAAAAAGGAAAGAACTCACAGGGTTGTCTATCTTCAGGGAAATCTTGATTTCGCTGTGCAGACGTTGGAGCTTCGCATCCGTGGAGATTTCTGTGAAGGAAGAGGCCCGCTTGAATGGATTTCCAAAAACAAGTGGGAGGCATTTACCAGGGAAATAAGCATTCAAGGGTTTGATCACTTTTGTTTCACCGTGCAACTTGGTGTCCTGCAACGGGTTTCGTGGCATTAGCATGGTTTTCAATTCCCCCCATTGATTCAGGGAATTAAGGAAACGGAAAGCACTCTGCTTCGAGATGTTCAAACTCTTGGTGAACTCACCCTTTTTCTTGGCCCCGGACCGCTCTTCAGTTTTCTTGGGGTCATCTTTGCTCGATCTGTTTGGGGAAGTAACAACAACAAGGTAGTTTCAGTTTCACACGAGAAATGACACAAAATAACCAACTCCCCAAAAGCAAATTTAAGACTAAAATGCTGATGCTAATTCCATTGGCCCACATATGACATTTTACATGATGTGTTAGCATTAAGCTAGCAGGCTTTCATCAGATGAAGCGATGTGGTGTTTGGTTCACTCTGTGTGTACTTTTAGGTTAATTTCCCAGTGAGCACTTGCCTTCTTTTTCGGAAATACTGTACATGTAACCGGTAGTTTTTACATAAGTCAGAATGTTCTTCCATCTATCACCAACTAAAATTAGATATTGTACAAGGTAATAATCAGGAAATGTTTCCTTGAAAAAAAATAAAATAAAAATCAAATCCACAATCACTGTCTTGTACTGTCAGCACGACGGTCACTGAGCGCGTCTTCTTGTGCTTACGCTGCCAGGCAAATCGTATGTCTAACTAATATATCCGGCCCGCCGCACACCAAGAACACTCTGGTCAGGGATGAAATTTGGGCATTGCGCTGAAATGTTTGTGATCCAATATAGCATGAGTGTGAATACTTATCTCGGAGCGCTTTTGCAATGGGATACTTTGGTAGCAAGAATGTGAGCGCTTACTCCTCTTTCCGCCGCCGTCCATCCTTGTCTGTGTCGGCGTTCTGATGTTTTTTCTTGCTTTTGTTTTTCTAAGTT